TACTTGAAAGTAGAAATGCGTTATAATAAGTGCTGGCTATTGAATATTGGTATATTAGCGTTGTGATATAATAGCGAGCTACTGAATACTCAATAATTCCATAAGTAATCATTAGGATTCGCTATGTAATAGCAAAGATATTAAGGGAGGCCACAATACGCTGGCCATAATACTACCTTTTCCTCTATTAATATTGCTGACTCTGTTTACATTTAATTATTAAGTTAGTATTGCAAAATTGCGCAAATGTGATATACATATTAAATTTGAAGATAAGAATTTTAATTTTCCGGAAAATTTTGCAAAATTCCCTGAATTTTCTCTGATTCCTCTAAATATTTTCAATTCTGCGACCTTTCTCTGATTTCCAGTTTTGTGGCAAAGCTATTTAAGCATAAATTTAAGCAAATATTTAAACATAATCTCAAATTAAGTCTGATTTATATTTAATAATATCGTATTCCGCTAATTATGTTGATTAAATTTACAACTATCTAAAAGGATATTTGCATTATAATAACATGCAATATGTAACAGTGTAATTGTTCCACGTGCAATTACTGAATTATTTGGCCAGGTATATGCGGTTTAGTTTAGTCCAATTCAGTTTAGTCCAGCGCAGTTGCAAATTAGTTTAGCTGAGAGTTCAGTTAATTTTATTCTACGAGTGTAAGGACGGTTGATAGGGGAACGGCAAATTTTCGGAACAAGTGCATGGCTGTACCCGCGAAAAATCGATATTATTGTCGCAGAAAAAAAGAGAGGAACAGCAGGACGACCTACCAGGGCCGAGGGATAATGTCGAGGCGTGCAGGTTGGCCTCCGACCTCGCTCTGGAAAGGGCGGTGGGAAGATGAAGTGCTGGACCGAGGTGACCTCCGGATGGCGGGTTTCCGGGTAGAGGACCCAATCGCAGCTCCAGGCAGGAGCTGTCCATACTCCGAGTTTTACGCAATTGCGAGCTCATCGTCGTCAGCTCGGATCCGCCGTTCTCCTCGTCCTCTGGCCAGAACGACGTTTGCTACGGAAACGTAGATTGCCGTAGACTGCAATTCTCCGCGGCACGCTTCGGCAATATATCTCCACGATATTTTTCATTACGTGTGTGTATATGTATATATATTGTATACACTATGTGATTTGTTAACTTTAAAATAACGCTGCAGATATAGAAAAAAAAAATATATCATAAAAGTTTTTTTTTCTAAAAGAAAAGAAAAAATTTTTATTTATTTTTTCCTCTATTGTTCTTAACATTCAAAATTTCTAATTTTTAAAACATTGCTTAGAAAGTCTTTATTCCAATCTTTCTTTAAAGATCTTTCTTAAAAGAATCTTTCTTAAAAGATATAAAAAAAAGGTATGTTTTTTCTAAAATTTCTTTATAAAACTTTAAATGGCTAAATTACATGATATTTGCAATTTCGTAAAGTCATTTGGGAAATTCACGAAAAAGGTAATAAGATTGTTGTAACTTCTGCAAAATATATGTCGGATAATGTATAAACATCAAGTCGCAAGAGTAATTCATTGCGCTTTCGTATTGATTCAGAGTCGTATACGAATAGTAGAGAACGCAAAGACTATCGCGCAAATTTACCCTGAGTCTGGAAGCGAACATGTCCTCCACCGACTGGGGCAAGTATTCCCTAGTGGCGGCAACCTCGCGCCATTTATCAACCGAGGGATGAAGCGCGGCCAGTGCAACCTCATGAAAACTCGCATAGTGCTTCGCCAAGGAGCATTGTCGCTCCAGTACGAAACCATATCGCCGTCTCTCCTGAGTCATTGCCTGTGAAAAGAACGCACAAAGGGACCGGTGTTAATGAACTCGCTCCTTTAATGAATTTCATCGCGTAATCCATCATCTCCGTTATCCTTAGCGTATTTAACTTTCGCATTTATCCGCCATCAAAGAAGATTTTCTATTATATCCCACGTTTGTATCGGGTTTTCAAAAATATCCTTAAAAAATGTGAAAAACTTGATACACAATGACGTAATTGAGTTTCCGTTTACCAATACAGCACAGATGATTCTAGCAATATTGCAATGTTCCAGCAATATTACAGTAACAATGCAAACGTTGCAATAACATGCAATGTTGCTTCTGTGGCCTTACTGGTACAAATTATTCTAACATATTACTTGAAAATATTGCAGCAATGTTGCAGTTCTGTGCTGCCTGAGATACTCACGTTCTTCAAGCTCTGTTCGCAGAAGGCATCGAGCTTGGTCTTTTCCTCCTCGAGGATCTGCATGTTCTTGAGCTCCTTGTCCATGGCGAGGCCACTCTTATTGGCCGCCCTAGACTTCTTCCTCTGCTTCTTCATTGTCGCGGCCGCCTTGCTGTAAGTCTCGGATCTGGTCTTGTGTTGCTGAAGAAATTTCTTCTGCTCGCTCTAAAAGTCCCAACGTTACATTATTCATTGTCGCCGGAAGTCGGGGCTCGGGGACGACTAATGTGCCTTTCGGGAATCATTTTCGGCGATTTACTTACCTGTACGACCTTCGTGTCCTTCTCCAGGTTGGTCTCCAGAGGTACCAGCAGATCCACGTAGAAAGCTTTTAACTGAAACGTAAGAGATGAACAGGGATGTTATTATTACGCACGAGCGATACGTGATGTTTGTTTAATTCACACACACACAGTGATATTAATTTTAGTAGTCCTCTCTATTGTATATAATATTATGTATGTGTTAACATATTATATTACTTAATCATATTATTTTTGCACAATAAATAATATTGCATTTATTAATATCATTATCGTTATACAATATTAATATAAATAAATATTAATATAAATAACATTTAGCTATAAATAATTTTGCTATAAATAATATTTTGCTATTATACAATTTCCTAATTTGCCGCGCTCTTGTTACTATCCCAAAAGTAACATCCATTTAGGAAATTAACGTAAATTTGTGTGTAAAGTTGTGTTTGCACACGTAAATTAATACAGATATAATAAAGTAATCTTTTTAAGTGGGAAATAATTAACAGACACCGCTAGGCAATAAACTTAATTAGAAGAGGGTCGAACATCCTTCCAACATTTAAAGGCGGTCTAGGGACGAGGAGGGTAAACTTTAACATCCCCGCAGCTGGTGTTGAGAGAGCGATGTTTCTTTATTTCCTCACCATCTCAGGTTCACTATGTGAGCTTTAGGCGGTTTACGAGTCTCTTCCGAGCCAGACCTAATTTATACTTGCAGGAGTGGTCCTTGGTTGGATGCATTCCGACGGAAAACGCGACGGCGCTCTTTATTCCGTTTTATTAACATCTTGAAAGAGAAAGAACGAGACGGAGAGAAGAATGATAAAAGCAACGCGTTAAATTCCGCATAATGGGGAAAAAATGTAATGCAGTAATATGCGGTATAACAATAGAATAATATGATGCCAGCTGAGAGAGGGAGGTCATAAAAACTCAAATAAATGACAACACAAATAAATAACAGACGATATTTCGAGCGCCGTTAGAGAAAGAAGCGACAACGTGGCGCGTGAATGCAATAATAGCGTAATTTCGCCCGGAAATACAGCAGAGCAGTAATAATCGTATAAATAAATGGGAGATCAAATCTCTCCAGACGCGTTCGCCAAACTTCGCTACCAACCGGTAAAACCCATTTCGATTTTCGCCAATCTGGTCTGTTAGAGTCTCAATGAGCTCTGTAACATACTAGCAACGAGCTAAAAATTCTCAAATAAAGGATTAGACACCGTTTAGACAACTTCTGATTAATTGGACCTTAAAAAAAAGAATAAGATGGGTAGATATCTCATTCTATATCTTAAACAAGTCCTGAAAAATATGACGGACTAAACGTACGGTGTCTAATCTCTTACTTGATAATCTCTAGAGTGAGCCATCGAAAAGTGGGGGTGTTTCAATTTCTAAACGAGGATACTCTGATGCAAAGATGATAAAAATTTTCTTTGTCAGGGATTCGCTGACTGATTAATGGTGTTTTACTATCATAAGTAAAAAAGACTCAAGAAGATCAATGTTTGTCTTCCTGTTCTCCGTTAGGCTGTTTTCTATAGTTTAATATCCAATAAGAGAGTTTTGTATGCAGGGTAAAATAGTTTTAATAAGAATCTACGAGATCGAGAGTAGGACATACATTTATTTTTCTTTCTCTTTCTCATTCTGTTCTATCTTTTTTAAATCTATTTCTCTCTCTCTCTCTCTCTCTCTCTCTCTCTCTCTCTCTCTCTCTCTCTCTTTCTCTGAAATTGTTAAAACAATTGGTGGACTAATCAAAAGTGATTTTTTCATGTCTAGACTCTTATTAGAGAGCCTATAGTTTAGTATAGGCTCTCCAGTATATTATAGAGCTCACTAGTTAGAACGACGCGAGATTTTGGCTTGAAATCTCGATTCGAAAATTCAATTCACAAGGAAATCAAGCTTCTCTGAGCGCGATCATCCCTTAGATCCAGCCCTCTGCAATCAAATCACTATTCGAGCTCCATTCCTCTGTTCTCCATCCGGTTCAAACACACGCCGAGACGTGTTTGTGGAACACATGATTTTCCGACCACGATAATGATATGCCTCTGTGTTTGCCAGCCACTTCGATCCATCAGCGTATTAACCCTTTCGAACTCAACACTCCTCCAGCCTCGCCCTACGTCAGCTACGTTGGCGTTTCTTCGAGAGCTACCCTACAGCCAGCCTCTCCTCACTCACCCTCTCCTCACCCCTCGCTCCCCACAAGCTTGCGTTTCACGAACAAGTTGTTTGTTTTGCAGTTCGAGCACCCTTCGCCTCGCTTTTTGTGCGTCGCTCAAAGGCAGGCGGATTGCAGCAAACCCGTTGCTATGGCGGTGCGTGGCAAGGGCGAGGGGAAAGGGAATCCGTCTTTTTTTTATCCGCTTTTTTTTTTATTCGCCCGCCCCTCCCCACCCCCTCGTTGAACACGCGAATCTCTACGCACCGTGAATTTAATCCGCGAGCTTTTAGGGAACGCCGGCGATTTTTATTGGGAAATTCTCTTTAGATGATTTTGAACGACCGCCGCCATGTTTGAGTTCGGACGAGCGAACGAGCGTCTTTTGCCACGCATTCCAGCTCGTCCCGGCACCCCACGCCTCGTCCATCGAGAATTACAGCGCTTCCGGAACGCGCGAGTGGACTTTTTTGCGCCGCCTTCCGGTCGCGTTACTGTATAGATAGATAGATCGGAGAACCAAATTTTGGTTAATAGTACATGGAAAAATAGCGAAAAACGATGGTATCTGTGACAGTGTTGTCAAAAGCAGAATATCCGTGGTAAATTTTCGTGATAATTTAATTTATATTTAATTTATATCTTCTAAATTGCAATCAAATTAATTTAAAGTGATAAACTACACCAACAAAAATTATATCAACAATATTATTTTAATCAAAAATAATTTTATCAATTCAATAACACTAATTAATTAGAATATTATGCTATATAATTTAAACTTGGTTTGATAACTTTGTGTATGTGTGTGTGTGTGACAATATATAATGTAACTTAATAACATTTAAAATGGGCGAATATTCAATTTTCTATAAAAAAAAGCATCATGTAAAAAATTGTATTCTACGTTTTCAAGTCATTTTTTTTCATGTAAAATCACTTCATTTCGCAGTTGTACTATCAATTCGCAATCATCCATATAACGTAATAACATTTTAAAAAATCCAAACATCTCTGTAACTTTTGGAAAAGGAAGGAGAAAAACCAATAAAAATGTTGCAATTGCGAATTAAAGATGTCCGTTCATAGGAACGTTCTTTAACGAATCTCGCGAAGTTATCGATCGAAGTTACACACAGCGAAGATACACGTCCGCCAAAAAGCTGCAAAGTAATGCAAGCTACGTGAGAGTTTCACCCCACACAGCCATCCCCTTAGCTGGACTTGGCACTCGTCTTTCTCTTTCCTCGCGGCACTTCCTTCCCTCGTTTCTTCCGATCGCGCTCGAGATAATCTTCGTCTAGAGTGCGTTTCTCAACGGCGAATCGTGACGCAGCACGCGTACGCGACTGTTTGTTTCTCCGCGAAGATTCCCCGAGGAGATCGTTGACCCTTGTGCATTGAAGCATTTCCGAACGTAATCAACTAGATCATTTACTTCATACGATGAATTGTATATACAGTTCTAACGTTTATAAGGTTCTAATGTAGAGTTCTAATGTATAGAAGAAAACGAAGATCTTTTCACAAATTTCTAAATCCGCGGAGATAAGATAACTGTCTCTATTACTGTGCCTGCTCCTATTAGTGTGTGTAACTATATTTAATGTAATTAATTCAGTAATGAGTTGGCTTAAAGACACACTAATAGGGACAATTATCCTGTAACTTTTTCAAAAACTTGAAAACTGTACTTTAATAAAATTTTAGTTCCTCGTGTTCATATCACTATCAAGCTTTTTAACATGAAAAATTAAAAGCTTCTGGAACATCCCTTTACTTTTAACATGTTACGCGTCACAATTTTCTGAGCAAACATATCACTGTGTGTGCACAAAAACAACTAACAAAGTTTCATTACGTTTTAGCGAAAAAAAGCTGCACTAAACTTAACGTTACTTAATTACCGCGGCAGAAAAGGTACATTTCGCAGTTTAGCTGAGGATTAGATTGCATTAGGTCGTGTTGGAGGGACATTTTCGCGGTGAGGTCGGCCGGAACGAAATTGTAAAATGCTACGTCCGCAAGAGAGAGGGCAGGAGAGAAAGAGAGAGTTGTAAAGTCTTAATAACCACATGTCGTTATGGTTGCAATGAGATTTCATGTTCAAACGAAACGCCTGCGGGATGTAATGTCGCCCTCAAGCCAAGTGGAGGCGAGCCGCAGGATCAAAGAGGCTCCTGCGGACTTCTGCCTGCCGTAGAACCGTTTTATAGGGTGTCACGAGATCGGCGATGGAAAGAGAGAGAAATGTAACAGAGAGAGA